GGGGAAGGGGGAGAGGCTGGGGCCACAGGGGGAGAAACAGGGGTCACAGGAGAAATTGCAGCCTCAGGGGGGGTGACAGGAGCTGGTGGAGATGCAGGAGCCACCAGAGCTGGTGTCACACTGAGAGAAACAGGAGTCGCCAAGGGATGGAGAGGGGCTGGGGTAGGAGCCATAGGGGAAGGGTGAGGGGTTGGGGGAGAGGCTGGGGGCACAGGGGGAGTGGAAGGGGCTGGGGCAGGAGCAGCAATAGAGGCTGGGGCCTTTGGCTGAGGGAGAGGGGTTGGGGCAGAGGCAGGGATCACAGGGGGAATGCAGGGGGCTGAGGCAGGAGCAGGACCCACAGGGGAGGCTGGGGCCTTTGGTGGAGGAGCAGGGGCTTGGGGGGAAGTGGAGGGGGTTGGGGCAGAGGCAGGAGGAGCAGTAGAAGCTGAGGCTATAGCAGAAGGGAGAGGGGTTGGGGGAGAGGGAGAGGTCTCAGAGGGCATGGAGAAGGCTGGGGCAGAAGCAGGACCCACAGGAGGGGCTGGGGGCTTTGGTAGAGAGGCAGAGATCTCAGAGGGAGTGGAGGGGGCTTGGACAGGAGCTGTAGGAGAGGCTGGGGTCTTTGGGGGAGGGAGAGGGGCTGGGGGAGAGACAGGGGTCACGGAGGGCGTGGAGGGGCCTGTAGGAGAGGCTGGGGTCGTTGGGGGAGAGGCAGGGGTCTTTGGGGGAGGTAGGGAAGTTGGGGGGGAGACAGGGGTCTCGGGGTGTGTGGAGGGGGCTGGGACAGGACCTGTAGGAGAGGCTGGGGTCTTTGGGGAAGGGAGAGGGGCTGGGGGAGAGGCAGGGGTCTCGGGGTGTGTGGAGGGGGCTGGGACAGGAGCTGTAGGAGAGGCTGGGGTCTTTGGGGGAGGGAGAGGGGCTGGGGGAGAGGCAGAGGTCTCAGAGGGAGTGAAGGGGGCTGGGGCAGGAGCCACAGGAAAAGCTGGGCAAGAGGTTGGGGCCAGAGGGGCAGCAGCACAGACCCCCGGAGAAGCTGAGGCCCCAGGGGATGTGAGAGGGGCTACTACAGGAGGAACAAGAGGGGCTGGGGAAGTAGGTTGGGCCACAGGGGTAGCAGCAGCCAGAGCTGATGTCACAGGGGCAGAAACAGGAGCCAGAGGGGTGAGGGGGGCAGGGGCAGCAGCCACAGGGGGCGTAGCTGAGATTGCAGGAGGCGCAAGAGGGCCGGGGGCCGCAGGAGCCACCAGAACAGGGGCCACAGGAGGAACAAGGGGGGTCAGGGGAGAAACAGGAGCTGTCCAAACTGGGCATCGAGGAGAGGCTGGTGCTGCCAGGGGGGCAGGAGGGGCCAGGGGCGAGCTCAGGGTAACAGAGGGAGATGCCAGTGCTGGGCTCGCAGGAGTAACTGGGGAAGCAGCAGGCCTGGGAGAGCCTGGAGTGACCGCATCGGCTGGGGCTGCAGGGGGGCTAGGGGGAGGGGGGCTGGGCACTGGGATGCCAAGAGCTGCAGCTGGGAGCTTTAAGGGAGCGGAAAAGGTAGGAGGCATCCGAGCTGGGACCACGGGTGGGGAGGCCGGGGCTGCAGGGGCAGCTAGTGCTGGGGAGGGGGGCTGCTCTAGTGACACAGCCAGGCCCGTGGGGGCACTCGGAGAGGAGGGCTGGGCAGG